TTCCTAAGGCCAACAGTACACAATACAAAGACCAATTATTTGAATTACATTGAATTATTATACATTGCACACAGTATCTGTCTTCTTATTTGCTAAGAGCCTACAGTTAATTTTAGAAATCAGCGCAACCTACAGATTAGTTAGTTATCTGCTATCAGATTAGCGACTTCTGTAGGTTATTGCGCGCACAATTTGTGAATGCATGATTTAAGGCGATGCTGTGTCTGTCCTTATTTTCTTCAAAACAATTTATAATAAAACGATTATTAGATTCGGTTTTCGTGGTATCCGGGATAATTAAGGTCTTGGTAAGTGTTATCAGCCTTGGTTTATTGGTTTTTAGTTCGGCTGATCGCACTTTTCTCGAGCTTGATTATGCCGGATACGACAAAAACCAGTTTACAATGTAAACATGTTACCTTGAGAAATGGCAAGCATTCGTTCTACAAGTCTATTACAGTGATCCAACCAGCTGTACATCTCTGCATATTCTCCTCGAAGAACTTTAGACTCCCTCAGTCGCAGCTTCCTGTTTTTCTTCCGAACAGCTTTGATTGCACTGGCCCAATCTTTAGGATCTTCTGATTCCACCACACAACTTGAACCATACGGAACTTCCTTTAAGGCCTCGCCAAGACCAGAGTTCCCACTGACAAGCACAGGCAGACCAGCAGATAAAGCCTCAAGGGCGGCTAGCCCAAATCCCTCAGTTCGTGATGGCATTATAGCAAGATCAACTTCACAAAACAAACGGGCTAACTGCTCTCTGCTTTCATTAAAACAACGCACAGTTAGTTGACTGCGATCGATGCCTTGCTGGAGTAACAAATCTTTCACTTTCTCCTCTTCTCCACTTGGAGCTCCAACAAACAAGAGCTTATAGGGCTGTGGCTCGTCTTTCAACTCAGCAATAGCACGAGCAGCAATGTCATAACCCTTCAGCTGAAAGTCTTCATTGTCACCACGTCCAAACACTAAAACACTGAAAGTTTTTCTTTCTTCAGTGGCTTGCTTTACATCAGAAAACTCTGAGAAGATGCCTGGGGTTAGGTTGAGAACATCTTGATCTTTTCCACAGGCACGGAGATAACCTGAGAAAGCTTCAGCCAGCTTGGGACCAACTGCTACAACTTGATCAGCTTTTTCACAGAGTTTTACCTCAGCCTGGTGCTTTTTCTCACCTTTTGAAATAGCATCTGAGTAGGACTTGTACATACCAAGCTCTTCAGGAGCTGTATGAACGACCTGAATCCACTGGCACTTACACTGACGTTTTATACCCTGCACTTGCCGACCAAGAACAGCCCCATGTCCTATCACACAATCGACAGAATGGCTTTCAGGAAGAAAGGACAACCAGTCAACTGGGTTGTCATAACCTGGCATTTCTTCTGCTTCAATAAGATGTACATTGTGACTTGCAGCAACTCGTTTATCCTCTTCACTGCACTGAGGGAGATAAACACTGACCTCCACTTTGGGGTGTTTAGCCAACTGAATGGCCAGCTCTCGGTTGATGGTTGACAAGCCTCCTTTTGTTGATCTCCATTCACTGCTTAACAGAGTTACTCTCAATTTCCTGGAGGAAGTGGTTCCCGAATTGCCTTCATGGTCTTCCTGTGATGTAGAGGCTGTGCTAGGAAAGGACGGCAAATCCTGAAAAAGGAGTATCAAATTTACCAAAGGGCTCCATACATGTAACAAAGGCTTTTTACTACTGGTAAGTTCATAGAAATTGGAATTAAGTTGTGAAACTCAAGCTTTGTTTCTCCAACCACTCCTGCCAGTAAACCATACAGGAGGTTAACAAACATTTAGCTAAAGTGAGGTAAGCTTACTTATTTATACAAATTCATGACTATACTGGTATCCCTTTTTTCCAGTACTAATCATTATAATTATTTCGACTGACAGTGTATAACTGAAACAATTTGAAACAGATACTCATATTCCAAGCTTGGGCTACCTGTGGTATTACATGTACATGTATATCTCCATAGTGGCAACAGGGTCAATAATATCTAACCAAAATTAGCATTTAACATAATAACAGCATTTTCTTGAACATAAACAGTACAATACTGATAAAAAGTTCAATTGCTCTTTTAATGGCTAAGAGCAGCAATGTTCATTATACACTGTACATGTACGTAATGGGAATCCCACTGTTTTGATTAGAGGAGAGATGACCTAGAACTAAAAAATGTCAAAGATGAGGTTCTTTCCTTGGATTGCCTCAACAACAATTATTTCGTAACTGCTTTGCCTGAGTACCACAATGAAAACTGCCCATTTCATTTCTTAAGAGGGAAAAGCAAACTTATCAGTTTTTCACTCAGCATTCCATTACAATATAGAGATACTTAAAACAACCCAATGCGCTCACACAGCAAGAGCTTATCTTCATTCTAGGAGCATGAAGCACAAGCAGAGTTTTACCCCCCACCATCCCCCACCCCCACCAGAATGGGATGCTATATGTAGTCCATCACAGCTTTGCTCCCTGAAGTATGCTGTCAGTAAACACAAAATCAAAGAACTGTGAGGAGAGAGGTAGTTTCTTGTCTAAGAAAATCAAGTGACAGCACAGAGCTCAGGGCTCAAATCAGTCCTCCCCTAATCCAGAGTCTGCAGCCCTGCCAACCCCTGGAGATTCATATACATGCATCACCAACCAGACCGCTTGAATCAGTCAGAAAGAGAGAGATTGTTGCCAACTTTCACAGGCCAGGTGACCAGTTGCCTCTGTCTGGCATGACTGGGGGCCTTGAAATTTTTTTCAGTTCATATTTGTGCAATACTAGCAGTAACCAACGGTTAGGAAGTGCACATGAACATTTGCATTTACTTTGGAGATGTGATTGATTGAATCGCTTTCATAATACAATGGAACCTTTGCTTTGGGACACCTCTATTCAGCGGACAAAAAATTTGGTCCCAGAAAAACTTCCACAGAATTTTTGTATCTGTTACTTCTGTTGAAGGGACGCCTCTATTTAAGGAAAAGGGACAATTTTTCTGGGCCTTGAAACCCAGGTTTGCCTTCAATTAGGGGACACCTTAGCAATCAAAAACGGACTGACCACAAAGAGGGTTGATATTTTTAAGTGTATACTTATCACAATATTATTATAGAAGTTTTCACAAACAGAATTGATGTAATGCACTTTTGTGAATTCACCATAAAATGAATGATAACAGTGAATCATTAAAATGCCTACTTTAAAGCTTATTGAACCTTTCAGATGACAAGTGATGGAACATGGTTGGAAACATAACTAAACATAAAACCACTATAGAGCTAATATATAGATTTAGCCAGGGCTAACAGTGAAGCTCTAGATAATATTTATAGTTTGCTCAAACAAAATATAAAATCTTGAAATGCTAAGCAGCGAAGGCAATGCCAGAGAATGGTGAAAAAACAACAATAGGTCTAATTGGCAAAAAAGCAAGTTTGCACGCGCAGCACACTTTGTTTCTACATTTCTGTGCAGTTGTTTTGCACAACTACAATGTGAAACTTTCAGAAACTTCCTGGTTATACGTTTTATGGAGGAAATATTGTACATGTTCCTGTTCACTTTTTTTTCACCGTCGCTCATTTTAAACTCGTTTTTTCACCGCTGCTACAAAATTTCGTGTTTTCCTCAAGAAAAAATGTCTCCTTTGTTCTTTCTCTCACGCTCTAACTCTCTTTCTCTTTGAGATTCGCTGGCCTGTCGCGCTACTTTCTCTTTCTCTATTTCCAAAATTGTGGACATGACAATACTTATTACTCTAAGCTTAAAACTTTAGACAACACGGATACAGAAATATTTTCCGATTTCCGTTTTTGTCTTTATTGACTCTTTAGTTTTCTCTGCTTCACAAGATAATAAAGACAAAAATAACCTGACATTTGGCATTGGCTTACATGAAGTGTGTGTATGAACGGGCAGGCGTACGCTATGTCAAAATCAAATTTTCTTCCTTTCATAGGTTACCAATTTATCTTAGGAATGGGGTGCCGCCGCATGCGCGGGAGCTCCGCTAAAAATGTGCACTCAAAAATAATATAAGAGACATGGAACAAGCAAGGCTACACACTGTACATATGTAAAACCTGCATTAACTAAACTTAAATGTATATGGATTTTAGACTTTGCAATCACTTGTATCTAACCGGACTAAGCTGAAATCAGGCTCTACTCTTATTTGGCTTGGTAAATAGATTTCTGTCGGGCAAGGCAAATTGAAAAGTCTTGCATCTGGCACAGAAAATTATGTGGTGTGTTTATGAATCAAAGAATCAAACAAACATTGATCCAAATGCTTCAGAAATTCAAATTCACGTGATTACTAGAGGGCGGATATCACCTTCAACTCAACACCAGGGCCTTCATGACCCCATACCGTGCATATTAGTTGCAAGAACAAAAGCATTCCAAAAATGTGGATAGATTTTGGAAAAACCCCACTTTACAGTTTAATTATCACAACCACCACCCAGAGCCACTAATAAAACTTTTTTAACTTTAAACCTCTCAACTTGACGTTGAAGATACAAAGAAAAATCAACCTTGGTTTCGAATACTCAGTAAGATAACAAATGTTCAAATTTTTCTTTACCTCCATCAGCCTGGACATCACAGGAATCCTAAAACTCCTTTAATGCTGATTCTGTAAGAGGAATAGGAAACGTAAGTAATTTATTACTTCAACAGTGATGCAGTGTTATCTTAGACTGCCATTCAACAATCTTTTAGTGAGGATTAACAATTTTTGGTATTTTATTGGCACTAGCTTTTGAAATTAGAATAGTCTGGAATTTCTCACTGGAAATTGACTCATACAGTTCTTGGAAATAGACACTGTATATCAAAGCACAAAATACAGGCATCCAAAAGATAATGAATATAATAATAATAATAATAATAATAATAACAAAATAATAATATATTTTATTTATATAGCACTAAAACTATATAAATATGTACATGTATATTTAAAACAATAATAAAAGCTGATAAACACTAACACATAACAAATAGTACACTTGGAAAAAATGAAAATAAAACACCACAATCACTGTACATTAATAGGTTCATTGGGCAAAAATATGCCAAACAAAAATAATAAAAAGGTCTTTCAGGGATGGCACTAGGATTTTTTAATCTGGGTCCTCGGACCCACATGTCCGGTTAAATTGGGGTGCCAAATATTTTGGGTGGGTCCCAAAATCTTGGTGACCCTTCCCTAAGAAATTCTTGTTGTTGTTGTTATGAGAAAGAGTGATGGGCAAATTACTGTCATACTGTTAACTAAGCTTTATTGTCTTTTTTTTTTGTTTGAAAACATTTACTTTAGACAATACAATGTATTCTTAATTGTATTCCGGAGGGGGGGGAGGGGGGTACTCCCTTATAAGGGCTTAATTGGGACGTGCAGCCAGCCAGGGTATGTTTTTCAGGATTTTTGCCTTAAACAGGGTATCGATTTTATCATTTTTTGTCTTAATCAGGGTATCGATTTTATCAATTTTTGTCTTAAACAGGGTATCTTTTTAAATAGTTTTGTGATTGCCAATGGATTAAATAAGAAAGAGTTTCAATATTTATTATTGTCTTACACAGCGTGTGGTTTTGGGTTAAATGTCTTAAACAGGGTATCAAAAATTGGAATTCTGTCTTAAACAGGGTAGGAAAATCAGCGATTTTTGTCTTAAACAGGGTCAGGGTATGAGGGGCCGGGCCGCACCTCCCCACCCAAGGATATATCGAGTACCCCCCACCCCCCGGGGTTGTATTTACCCAACTTTATCATGACATTAAAGTATTGACAACCCAACTTTTGATTAATGTGTGATTAATTTTTGACAGAATGAGATAAACGGAATAGCATAGTCAACGTCAAGCATAAGGCCTCACTATTTTCTACAATGACGGTGCAAATCATCAATAAGTCATCGCCTGAGCCTCTTGTTTGCAGCCATCCAAACTCTTTCAGCCATTGGTCTAAAAACTGATTACGTCTTCCTCCCTTTTCACAGTTCATTGTGATGTTACAGGTACATGTAAGTGGGCACTCGACCACCACAATCAATCAAACAACGAACAAACATGGCAGAAGCTCATTCAAGTTTCCTGGATGTCTAAATAGTCTCCAGTCCCCTTTGTGTAGTTAAATCCAGCATGGCAGCCAAGACGTGAATTCACTTTGTTCAAAAATTTTTTACATGTCACTCTAACAACAATATCTATTCAAGATTCAAAGTAAGTGGAGTGAGTTCTTTAAGTCAACATCTTGCATTCTGAGACACATTTAAATTTTGATGACGCATTTTTTGCATTTTGCTTGCGTAAAAATGCACAATTTCTGCGTTAACACGATCTCTGGTCTTTAGAGCCTGCTTGAAACCCTGAACACTCAGGATACTGTACTCCTGATAGATGAAGGAAGAGTGTTCCACAGTGAGGGGCCAACACGAGCAAAAATCCCAAGGTCTTAGATCTTAATGCACTTTGTTTTGGGACCTTTAATTCTTAGCTGGTATTGGATCTTAAATTGTATGAACCACCCTCCTTGAAACTTATATTTTACAAGTTTGATAAAATATTCCCGTCCAATTTGTATGTGCAGTGGATGATTAGTAAATGCCTGTAGAGATCTCCAACTCACAATTATATCTTGTATATGTACTCACAGTACAAGATGAAAATATCTTTTGTAAAGCAACAGAAGATACAATACCATAAGGTATACACATGTAGATACATTGTGAAGTGATACATGGCACTTTGGAGTAGCTTTGCATTAGGGATGGACCATCACAAAAGTTATGCATGGAGAAGGTGGGAAATATTTCATCTCTGTGATGTATGCCATGGAAGCACTTCTTTACAGCATAATGAAGAGTACTGTTTGTAATTACTGGTCATTAAAATACGACTCTATAAAGTAAACTATGTGTGTGTTGTCAAGTGAGTACCTACTTACTTACACTGCACAAAACAGGTTGAAAATCAAGCGGGGCTACTGATGGGTCGAATTCAATATTTTCAGAGCGATCCTCACAAAATTTTTTTGGAAAGAACACTGTAATAAACAAACCTAACTCTTTAACATTTGCCTTTCCAAAGGAAATAGTGTGTGACTGAAAACATATTACTGCCTCAAGTTTTAGCTCATCATTCAGTTGCCTCAAGTTAATTTATTGGCCCTAGCCTACCCTGGTGAGGAGTCCACTGTCACAGGTAGTCACATGACCAGCTGTAATCAGGGTTCTTCCTCAAAGCAACAGCGAAAACACTGGGAATGAGATTGGCATGATTTTTGTTCCTAAACATTTACCTGTGTATACCTACATGTAGCATGAATTAGTTTTTTGGCCAGTGCATGAATATGTTTCTTGGGTTAGTACTCCACATGTATGGTTTTTTTTCCTTAATTTTTCTCTCACAGGATTTTCCCTGTATACACTTCGTCAACCACCCCCCCACCCCATAACTTTTCTAATGGTCCCTCTCTCAAAAATAATATTATTATGTTACATTAACAGTACTCTACTGTATTTTTTTTCAGTCAATTAGCACTTTGTCAACTCAAGACACTGCAGATGTTAAACACCAACCACATGTACATCTGGTCTCAACAGTTGTTAATTACTTTAGAAGATGTAGCATTGCAATGGTAGTATTTTTCTTGTTAACTGGGCGGCTTGTGGCAAGCCCACTTTAAAAAATGGGTTTTATTTTTTTCTTGGTGGGGGAGTTGTAGTGGGGGTGCACTATTTCAGAGCAATATGTATGAGGTTAATGTAACAGAGTTCCTCCCCCGGTATAAAACGGACAAAGGAATGTCCTGGGGAATGTGCTCACATTTGTAGATCACCATGTCAAAAAAAATATTATATATATTCACTAGGACAGTTAGAAAGGCTTTATAACACAATATCAGACAAAAACAAAACTTAAACTTAATTTGCTTTGTTAGTTTTCAGAACCAGAATTGAGAAATGTACTGCTTGTTATTAACAACCTTTTGACCCATGACAACAATAATTTTTGGAACTTCCGGTTAGGTCAAATTAGTCAAACTCTATTTTGGGGAGCAGAGGAATTGGGGATGGGGTGTGTGTAAAATAACGCTTATTGGCTAACTTGCTTATTTTTATTAATAATGGTGGAATTCATGAAAAGGCACTATACAGCTCCAACTTTAAAATGGTACTCATTTTTCTTGTTACGAAACTCTTCCAAAAGGGTACAATGTTCAATTGAGTAACTATTTAACTCTCACATGAGATGCTACATCATGCAATGGTAAGAGAAATGCCTGATGGCCTAAGTGGGCAGCCACCCCCTCCCCCAGGAAAATTGGCCGTCCAGTTAAAATTGCCTTTTGGTGATTCTTGTTTACCATATTTTCATTACATGTAGCATTTACAAAAGAGCGGTACTAGGGACAACAATTTTGTCAGATGGAGAGGGACATTTTGGTCTGACCAACCAAAATGACCAGACCGGTCAAAGTGGACTACCTTCAAGGCTGGTCACGAATATTTCCGTCAGAACAAACCAAAATGGACCATTCCATTTGATCAAACCAACTGAAACTTCCAGAATTTTGGGTTGAATGGAAATAAAGCACCCCTGGACTCTTCTCTCAGGAGGATACTGAGATTTACCCCAAGGCTACACACAGCTTATTTACCCAACTACTTTCAGCTGTTTTTGCTGAAATTTTGTCACACTGTTGACCAATTTAACAATATTAATGAACAAGCCCAAAAACAGTTGAAAACAAAAATCCTTGTGGAATTCAAACCTGGCTAACTGTGTTCACTATTTTCAAAATATATCGTGTGGTTCCAGAAAATATCCATACCCCCACCATGGAGGGAATTGGAAATTTGGGGAGGTCAGAGGCCCAAGACATTCCAGAGGGCGGGGGGGGGGTTGGACGGGGTCAATTTCAAACTCAGTATGAAAATTGCTACTTACTGATCTGGTAAATCATTTTTGAAGACATAAATAAGTTTGACTATTGTTTTTTCATCTAAACCAGGTTTTCTTTCTTCCAAAAGCATTACGTATTCGAATCCAAAAGGAATTAGGCCCCTGTTAGGCCGACAAATACTCGACTTGTCGTGTGCATAATATTGACCACCATTACTGGTTACCAGTCTCTGTAGAGACATAAATGCATAACAGGTGTAATAACAGGTGTGGTTACACAAGCTCACTCTTCCCTAGCCACGTTTCTTCGATCTCCACATCGCGTCAGTCAATCAAAAAACAGTATAACAGTGACAGTTTCACTTCAAGAAGCAGAGGGTATACAATGTAACGATTTCAGAATCTTGAATTTTTATTCTCCTTTTCATTTTCCCTTTACTTTCTGGTTGAAAGTTTGATGTGTTTGCAATCATATTCACGCTGAAATGGCGTTAATTCCATCAACATTACGGTCATGGAGACGGCTACGTTTGGAAAAAACATCGTAAGCTTGCACATCAAGGTAAACGTACGTAACTGACAGATACAACTTTCTCTCTTTTATTTCAAGGGATAAGCAATATTTTGTAGTTTAGGTTGCTCTGTAGGTAGTTTACTGTGTTCTAATTCAAGACCGCTCAATAAAACAAAATGAAAACCATTGCATAACCGCAAACGGCATCATTCTTTAATTAGATAATATTTTTTCATGAAAATAAACTTTTCCAGAGGGGCTGGGGGGGCTTTGTTTTACTTTGTGGAAAATCCGGAGGGGTGGAGGGGGTCACCAGTTTCTTATAAATATGGAAAATCCAGGGAGGTGGGGAGGTCCTAAGTGAAATTCCCACTGTGGTGGGGTATCAATATTTTCTGGACACCCACATTGCCTAAATTTTTAATTATTATACAGCTAACATTTTTAGTAGTAACTGAATTCTGATTGCAACAAATACATGTAAATAATGCAAAATTTCCTACCAAAGCTTGGTACATGGATCCTTGACCTCTGAAACCACACACATGCATCATGAGATTTCAATTGATTGGTAGCAGTAACCTTAATAATGAAATCAAAGGAAATGCATCAAGAGAATTAGCTTTGGGAAATTTGCCACTGTTGCATTGGCTGGTTAGTGAACTGTTAGATACACCAGTCAATGTAAGCCTCTCCCACCCCACCTAAACCATAGCAGGGTATTTGACTCGTCAGGGCTTTGCAAAATGTCTTTGAACACCTTTCACCGAGGTACCAACCTTCTGGTTTTAATAGAGTCAAAAGTAAATACATTATTAGAGTATATTCTAAATTACCCTTTACAAATCTCCTGTTCCTGTGGTTAAGATAAAACAAGTTAAAACAAGAACATAATACAAGAGTAAACAACTTTAAAAAAGACTCTCTGGCAACTTTTGCCTTGGATCAAGAAACTTTTGATTTTTGGGGCAACTTGATTAAATTTTAAGCAACTTCTGGGAATAACAAATGTCCTAAAATACTGTTGTTAAAGTCTTGTAATGTAGATCCTTGTAAGAACATTTCAGTTCCTTAATGTTGTAATAACAATAACATTATTTTAATAAGATGCGAACTCAACCTTGTGCCCCACGCGCTCAACCCCTCAGTTTCAGTATCCACAGTATGAGGTCAGCGGTTCACAAATAAGACCGTGTTTTTCAAAAATGGTGATATGGTAAAAATTTTTTAGTCAGCTTTAGGTGTCTTTTTGCATTTCTCTTGGGACTGACTGACTTGTGCTCATTCAGATAAATGGTTTTAAATTTCTTTCCTCTAAAGAAAGTCGGGTGTCATAGTTGCCTACATGATCTTTATGAAAACTGGACATAAAATTTACAGAAAAAAAATGAATGCATAGAAATTCTTTAGAACCTCTCATTTTATTTGGATCCTTTGTATGGCTCTCTTGGTTAAGGACAGAGATGTCATTAAGGGCAGTAATTAACCCATAACACCTGTTATGGCTGAGCTCACTTGATGTTACAGGTGATCAATGTGGAAAGCTAAAGGTGCCATTATAAATTTTTGTGAGATGTTACGGGTGAATCTTCATTTGGTATGGATGCTTCAAAACTTAATGACAGCCCTGAAGGATAAACATGTACATACAATATAATGTACAATGCAGCTGTAGCTTCTGTTACCGGTATTAATTTTTTTTTCATTATTTTTCAAACAAATCCAGTGAGGCCTTGAATGAACTAGAACATCACTGAAATATTTCCTTGTTGGGATTTTATAATGGAACAGGGCAGTTGTCACTAAGGTTTCAAGTTGCTGGTTAAATACAAGGAGTAGGTGGGGAATCAAACAGCTATTGATTTCTTTTAGTTCTATTTTCCCTCTATTTTCCTATGAAAGTAGCCAAGAATCATGTTTATAGTAGCAGGAAGAAATCCCCAGCCCCCAGCCCTTAATGACAGCCCTAATGTGTGATTCCAGAAAATATCCATACCCCACCACGGATGGTCAATGGAAATTCCTAAGGGGTGGGGGGGCTAAAGGATAGAAATTTCCGAGGGGTATGGGGGGTGCCGACGAGAAGAATTTTCAACAGGGTTGTAAAAGACGCGAACGATCGTACGAGTCATACTTAAGTATGCGTGGATTATTTTGATTTGTATTACAACAAAAATCAGAAATAGATTCCCTTTCGAGAAAAAACTTAAAGATATAACGGTCGGTCCGTCCAACGTTTGACTTTGACGAAGTCTTATTAAATCAATCGCAATTCTCGGTGCATTTCTCAACAGGTCCCTTGCTTCTCCGGGAATAAATTTTAGCGCATCGGTTAATATTGTCGAACATATATCTAGATTGCGGACTAAGTTTTTATCAGATTAGTCTGATACAAACTTAGGTTAATCGAGAACAAACGTCGTCTATCTCGGCGCTATATGTAAACAACTTTATGCAAATTTCTGTTGACATTCAGGGAGCTGATCGCGACAAAGCGTTGCGTGACGACCCAAATTAGAGCTTTGCTGTATTTTATTTTTATTTTTATTTTGACTTCTAATAAAGTACCGTTGAAGGCAAGCTGTTTGTCGAACAGACGTCTCGCCAAATCAACTTTTGCCCGAAAATATTGACGATCTGTTTCTTCTTTGTCGAGGTCAGACTTTCGATCACGTGCTAGGCGACGAAATAGATCATGTTTCACCGATGTTCATTTCTGAAAATCGAAGCAAATATGGGACGCAGAATGAATGTTTGCATATTTTGTTCTTTTATAACCCGAAGAAGTTTTTTTGTAATCCCTGAAATCTGTTTAACTGCAAGCGTAATTCATTTCAAAGTTAAAGTTAATTACAAACATCGACTTTGTGGTGATTTTAGGATCCGAGGCCGAACATTTAACGCTAAACTTTGTTTGCAAGTTAGTTTTAGTAGATCCGTTTTGAAATTCGAACATCTTCACATATTTTAATGTTAAATCGATAGTTAACTTTGAGGATATGCTGTAAATGTTGCTTTTAAGATGAAACTGACTTAGACTAGACGTGTACATCATTGAAACTTAATTACAGCATCAGAAATTCAACTTTGGCCTGCTTTGGGACCGGAAGCACAAGATTTACCGATAAACTTTGCCTGTAAGAAGATTCGTTCGTTTTGAAATTCGAAAATGTTCACATAGTTTTATTTCAGTGAATGGTTCAAATTTGAAGTTATGCTGTAAAATAATGCTTTCTTGAGATGACATAACATATTAATCCCTGTTTTCGTGCCTCGCGCATTTCGCTGGATGGACTAATGACAAGAGAGACTGCTCATTATCAAGCGTGCTCTACCTGCGTAAGAATACAAATTTCCTTGTAAAAGATTACAAATAGGTCAAAGATTATAAAAAACTGTGTTTTAAGATGAGAACGGTTCATTTTAAGCGGTACACGTTCGATAATCTCTAAATGCGGCAAATAAAGGCCATGAAAAGGAAAATAAGAAATTCCTGGGGGGTGGGGGGTTATAGATGACCCCTCTGGAACGGAAATTCTGAGGGGGTGGGGGGGTCTAATCGGAAGAACCATCCGTGGGAGGGGTATGGATATTTTCTGGTACCACACAATGGAACAAATTTGCTGCATCACCACCAGGCCAGACTTTTAATGAGAAATAGAGAGATACAGAAATATATTTACTGCATAAGCCAACTGTAAATTAGAACGGATGACCATGTTTCGCCACTTCTTGTTGTGTACTATTTTTTTTTTTTGCACACAAAAATAAGACATTTCATGTCAGTGTCATCACAGTCAACTCTCTCTAAGATGGACACCTTTGGGACCAGTGCTATATGAACGTGTTAGAGAGGTGTTCGTCTTATTAGGAGTCAACTAAAAGGAACAAAGAAAGGCAGAGACCAACTCTAGGTGTCCGTTATAGTGAGGTGTAAGTTACGAGAGAGTTGACTGTAACCCTAAACAATTTTATTGTGCAAAGTCTTTATCTGCTCATTCCCAATACATGTATGAGAATCTCACAACCTAAATCTGATGTCTGTCATGTGCCATAAACATGATTGTAAATCTCTATGATGTCTGGCCATTTTGAAGGGCCAAATCAAAATGACCATATTACTGCTGCGAAGCCTGACTGATTCAGGTCAAATACATGACCAGGCTGGGTTGCCTGTGCCCGATACCATCCACTTTTCAGCCATCTTGGATGTAAATATGTTTGTACGTATGTATGTTTTGCAAATTTTTTGAAAACCAACCTAACAAAATTTGCAGTTATTTGAGTGAAAAGATGTCAAAAGGCAGGTTTCTTAAGCCTGAGAAGCTCCAAAATCACAGTAAAAAAGGAAAAGGGAAGGAAAAAAAGAAAGAGTGAGGATAACAAAAGGAGGAAAAGAGAAAAACACAATGGTTGCACTCTTTGTTTTTAAAATAGCTACGTACTTTGGCGATAGTTTTTGGCCACAAAAAACTGTTAGGCGCAAAAGGTCCATTTTGCAATAATGCTATCAAAAATCCAGCCAGAAGATCCTGCACAATGAGCAGCATTGATGCCAAACGGCCAGAAATGATGTCTGCCACTTCGAAATGGCACACTTTGAAAGATTGGCAGAATTCTTTGGAAACATTCTAGCTGATGCTCTGAAAACCAACCTAACAAAATTTGCAGTCATAGCTATTTTTGGAGCATATTTGTGGCTATTTCCCCCACAGCTGCATGTAGTCTACTCTTGGTGAACTGCTGTTGTGTTTATTGAGCTGTTGTGTGGTCACTGAACTGATTGTCGTTTCTGAACTACGCACACAAAACACATAAAGCAGGAGAATAATGCAAACGGTTACAGATAGCCTTCTCTGTCTTCACTCTTGTAGGATGTCTTCATGACTCTTATGTTTATCCTTTCCCATCTTTCCCATTTTAGCACCGATGTGAGAGGTTGACAAGGATTTCAAAAGTTCAGGGGCAAGCAAAGTGTAAAAGAGATGTAAAGTGTGCATAAAGTTAAGCTATGTGATGGAAAACCTCATTCCCGGGTCTCCCGGAGTTGTGCGGGGTTGTGTAAAATAATGTAGTGTAATGCAATGTGCACTCAGGAGGGTTCACTAAAGCTCACTGACAAGAGACTTTCTCTAAAGCACAAGGAAAATTGACGAAAATTACTTCTTCTTCACATTCAGAGTGGTGATGAATTAGCCAAACCAAAGTTCTTTATCGCTTATTCTTGGCTTTGCTGTCACTGTTGCAATTTGGCAGAGGGAGGTGGTCTTTTGTCGCAATTTTACTTAACATCCTGTCGCTACTTTTTGGGTTTTGCTAAAAGCAGGCCTGTGGTGATAAATCTATGCACATGCACAGATCTGCATCAGGTTTGGGCATGCAAAATGGACGAATAAACAGACGAATAAACAGAGAATAAACAGAGAATAAACAGAGAAATATGACAACGTTTTTCACTTAGCAACATGCAAGGAAAGAAAGGATCAAAAAGGATTGAAATGATTATTAAAATGGTAAACGAATTCAAACTCACCATCGTCCATTTTG